ATTCTTAGCGGGCAGATTATTTGCAATTTCGACAAGAACTAGTATACTATTTCCATGTTGTTTAAACTCATACCTCTACCACAAGGGTTACAAGGTGGGCAGACAGGTTCAGGTATTTGAGTAACCCCTATCAAAGTGAGATCGCGACGAGATTGCAGGGAGCCAAGAGGACATGGAACACAATCATGTAAGCACTGCGGTTTCAATGGCCGAGCTGTGAATTAGGTTAAAATATATTATTCCTTCAGGAATTGCAGGATCAAACTGTGTGAAAAATATAACAACAATTCCGGCGTTTCGAGCGCCTTTCCAGGCGAAGGAATTCGCCAAAAAGAATGTGTATATGAAGTAACAGTAATAATTACACGACTATACCTTTAGAGGTGTAAAACATCATCTGCAAAAAAATATAAAATTGGATGTATAAAATGAAGATTAAGGTTTGTTTATTTGAACATGTTTTTTATCCTCACATTTATCCGTATTTTTTATTTTGAACTATATTTTAGTGTTTTATGCATGTGTGATCAGGGTGGATTAACCATATGACAGAAGCGGCATTATGGCAATGCCTGCATGCACGGGCTCCGCGCTATATTGCATGTGGGCCCATGCACGCGCTTACTCGTTTCGAATTTTTTGTTCCGTTTTGGCGCTGGGCCCAAACAAACAGATTGCTCAGCTGGTACATACTTTTCGTTTACAACTTTTGCTTTAAAGTCCAAGTATTGCAATATATTATATAATGTAATATGCAGCTATCAACCATTATCGCTGATTGTCCAACGTGCTGTATGAGTTGAGTTAAACTGGGTTGATTTTTAGTTCAAATCATTATGTATAGCTATATATTTTTTTTAAAACACAGGACGCATGGAATACAAAAATATATTCTTGAATTCAGTTATTCAGTGACAGCGTTTAAAATGCCACGGGCCTCACGAAACGCCGGTTAATCCAACGTTAACCCTGCATGTGCACATGTGCAAGTTTATAAGGCCCTGTCATGCACACTGGCTATTGCGTATGAGAGAAACGTATGGAAATTAATGAAATAATTTTCATACGCACAAAATTACAAAAATCCCTTAAAATGCCAGCGTATGAGTACCGTACATCTGGCGTAGTTACCTCTACCGTACGTTTGAATACGCACAAAATGTTTAACCCATCCATGCTTCAAAAAATGTTTCTGTCTCGCCGGGCCTCGTCGTATATGCCAGCGTACTGTATATACCACCGTATGTGACCGTGCTTGAAACGTGTACAACGGGGAACCTATGCCTAACGTACCCCTAGCGTATACGTATATGTCAACGTATACCAGCGTATGAGTGATATTTTTCATGACGCTGGCATATACGCTATAGTACGATATGTGGAACTGGGGGGCACAGGAGCACATATTGAGCATGTATAAGAAATAATTCAATCAGATTGACATCTCGCAATACCTCCACCTAACGGCGGACACTGCTTAACAGGGTTATAATAATCAATGTTTTATCAACATTGTGTGTGTGGGGGGGAGGGTCGGGCGGCTTGTATTCGGAATGGCCTGAGCTTTATTGAATATGGTGGGCTTATACACTGGGATCAGGTTATATAGAACAACCCTGCGAACAAATTGGTATTTATACTTACACTTGTGAAGAGTAATGCTGTAAAAATCCTGGATGGCGTCATTTGGTTCCTTAACTAAAAGACTGGAAGGGTTTAGAATACAGTAACTATATAAATAATAAATGATATCTTGCCAACTATGACTATTTCAGTATTCACATCAATGAGAATATCCGTCTGCAGGCTTGCTGCTGTAAAAAACACCTTCAGTCAGAGATTTCATTATTTATATTTATTTATATAAGAACTGACCTATGAAATCTTATTGCTGTGTGGACAAAATGATAACTAAAATAGAGAAAATTTGTTGCCTTGATCTCGAACAAGTAGAAGTTTACTGATTACAGCTGAATTTGTTCATCATGCAAGATTACGTACCACGAATTATATGCTGATATATAAGATAATCGCAGAGCGGTCTTTCTACAACCAGAAGTATATATTCCTCCTTAGCCAACGTACACAGAAATAGTTTTCTTTTATATGAATATTAATGTTTCCCCTCATCATTACGTGGCACAGGTGAAGATATTTGACAAGTTAATTGTTTTCAAGAGTATGATTATCTTGTTAGCAGCACTGATTCTAATTGACTGTCATTCATGGGTAGTAAATGCTTGATAAATTGAAGTAACTAGGTCGATCTCTACTGGGAAAAACGAAATCTTTTCTGAAGTGTTAGCTTGAAAAAAAATTAACACAAGTTTGTTCATAAACGTGTAAACTGTAAAAATTAGTAGAAAATCTCTAAAAATTTATTTTAAAAAATCATTACATATTTTGTTAAGACCAAAAGACGGTATAGTTAGATAAATTGTTAAGTTAGATTAATAAACATGTAAATGTTATGCATGTTAGTATAGAAATAGTTTTGGTATGACTTAATTGGATCTTATTTAAGATCTGTTGTCCTTTTCCTTCAATCATTTGTTAATATATGTTTGATTGTAAAGTTAATATAATTACATGGTTCTTATGGTTCATGCATGGTTCTTTCTTGGTTTCATGGCCTTATGGTTTTTCGAGATTTTTGTTTAATTATTAGCGAGCTTAAGCAAGCGACGTTTTTTGACAACACAAACGGCATGAGTAACGTTAAAAGACTGGATCAAGAATGTTGGTTGGTTGATAACGTCAAATTTGCTTCCGGTCAACGTTCATGCTCGCTATCAGTATGTACGTAGTTCTTCTAGTTCTAGAACCGGAGGATGGAGAGGGTATACTCTTAAACTGATTAGATCTTAATACTAGTTACTTTACCCCAAAATACACGACTTTCCATATCCTATTTCAGACCTAAATGTATAAGCCAGTGTGATTGTGTGGATATATTCGGCAAAATGTTCATGAACTCAGATGCATCTCTCAAATCTCCTGACCAGGTTTAACACAATAAGCTAGATGCTAGCTTGCCTCTCAAATGGCAGAAAAACAAGATACTCGGATGTAGTTGTAGACTCTTAAACTCTTAAGGAAATTGAAAAAATAGAGGATGCGTAGCCAGGTTGAAACATAATTTATTTATTGAACGTTAATAATTCTCTGACTAAATATTTATTTCTACGAGCTTTCGGCTATCAGTCTATAGCCTTCGACGGGTGAATACAAATGATTCTATAAAGGGTGAATACAAATGATTCTATAAATGTTTGTTGGCACAATATAGGAAAATCTACTCATTCTAGTATCCCTATATAATTAACCAAACAAGAAGAAGAGTACGCTTCACTAAGCAATCAAGTTACACATTTGATTTTACTATAGATACTGTAGACATGATAGCATATATGTTATATACATTACTATGATAGAGGAAATAACACTTAATATAAAGTTAGAGAAGGACTTGGTCCTCTTGGTCCACATCTGTGGCTTGGTGATGAACAAGTGGAAGTTTACCAATATAATTACAAATTTAAGTTCAGAGTTCGCTTTTCTGTTAGGGTTAATTAGGGTAAGGTTATGGCTAATGGCCTTGTTGTTAATTTATTTTTCACGTTTTAACGCCTATAACGATCTTAAAACAAGCAGCCATCTTGAAAATTACCCCCTACGGTCCATCCGCTTTAGCAACTACCTGTGATTTGTGCACGATACCAGCATTGATGTACATGTAACACTTAGTTCTTCCTATTTTACTTTATCAAATACTGCAGGTTTTCCACTGGCACTTCTGTTTCCTCCTGCAGTTACGGTCGTGGACCTTGGAACGGCTCTTGACCAAGGGAGAATAATTCAGAACTGATAATTATGCAGTTTAGAATACACATCAGAGTCTCAGACATATAAAAACGTCTTTAATAATCTCTTCTTGTAAAGCTTACAAGTTACAACCACTAAAGCGGCCTAGGGAATATAATTTTTCATGCATCATGCAGAAAAAAAATACGACATATATTTTATTAATTAACTAACTTTGTTTGTATTCTAATATACACATGAATCCATGCAGTATAGAGTTGCGCGTGTGACAACATTGATGAAGTAGTAATTATAATACATCGAGTAGTAATTAAATCGTCCCTCTGCCACAAGGATTACAAGGTGGACAGCCAGGCTCAGGTATTTGAGTAACCCCTATCAAAGTGAGATCTCGACGAGATTGCAGGGAGCCAAGAGGACATGGAACACAATCATGTAAGCACTGCGGTTTCAATAACCGAACTGTGAATTAGGTTAAAATATAATATTCCTTCAGGAATTGCAGGATCAAACTGTGTAAAAAATATAACAACAATTCCGGCGTTTCGAGCGCCTTTCCAGGCGAAGGAATTCGCCGAAAAGAATGTGTATATGAAGTGACAGTAATAATTACACGACTATACCTTTAGAGGTGTAAAACATCATCTGCAAAAAAATATAAAATTGGATGTATAAATGAAGATTAAGGTTTGTTTATTTGAACATGTTTTTTATCCTCACATTTATCCGTATTTTTTATTTTGAATTATATTTTAGTGTTTTATGCATGTGTGATCAGGGTGTATAATTAACCATATGACAGAAGCGGCATTATGGCAATCGGCCTGCCATGGGCTCCATGCTATTGCATGTGGGCCCATGATGCACGCGCTTACTCGCGTTTCGAATTTTTTGTTCCGTTTTGGCGCTGGGCCCAAACAAACAGATTGCTCAGCAGGTACATACTTTTCGTTTACAACTTTTGCTTTAAAATCCAAGTATTGCAATATATTATATAATGTAATATGCAGCTATCAACATTATCGCTGATTGTATAACGTGCTGTATGAGTTGAGTTAAACTGGGTTGGTTTTTAGTTCAAATTATTATGTATAGCTATATTTGGGGTTTTTGTGGCCGTTTGCGGGCTAGCCACTATCACCTACACAAACGCGATGAGCGATGATGATGGTGTCCAGTCCGGATTTTCGTAAAGTATCGGGAGCAATCGGAAGCGCCCGTATTTTTCTGCCGACATTTCACATTTGCATTTCGAGGCAATACTAGTGATGTTGTTACGACGCAGTTGTTAAACTAGAAAATTAAAATAAAGTTTATCTTCATGGCTTCAACCTATGGTGTCGAAACCGATCAGAAATTGCGCCTACTCGCCGTGTAAATATGGGTTTTGATTTGCACTTTTGACTGATTTGCCATCTTGAATTGTCTTCTTGTTGAGATTTCATATCTCAATTGCATTCGAAATGTTTGGTATTTTAAAGAAGGGGTATTGTGTGGACGAGGTTTATAATGCAGCAAATAAAACCAGCATTGGATAATTATGGTAAAAGACCAGAAACTGTGCATCGAACTCGTTTATTTAAAGGCTTTAATTAAAGTGCTTATGAAACGAAATTTTCACCTGATTTTTTATTGTTTTGCTAAAAAGTACTGCTAGAGCGATGAAGAATGACGTTTACAGTTTCTTCATATCTCATCTCATTCTCAAGTTATCACACTTTCTAAATTTTGAGTTGTGACGTCACTAGTTTGACTTGAGATAGTGGCAATAACAAGAAAGTCTGATAACTTAGTGAGTATTTAATAAAATTCAATGAAATTTGGTACACTTAGTGGGTGCACCCATATGAATATTTTTGGCAGGTCATGCGGTTGTCATGGCAACACACTAGTCCCCAGCCTCTTCTCTTCCTTTTCACAAATTTCCTCCTGTAGACCTCTTGCAGAGGATGTTTGCATGTTATAACGGCTTAAACTGATCACAATACCTACACGTATTATAGTAATAAGCCACAATTGCAGAAATTATTATTCATTTCGTTGGAAATGGAGCATATGGAAATTGGAAGAGAAGGGACTGGGGACGAGTGTGTTGCCATAACAACCATATAAACAAGCCAAATTGTTCTCTTCGTTGCACCCACTAAATGTGCCAAGTTTCATTGAATTTTATTAAATGATCATCAAGATATCAGATGTTCTTGTTATTGCCACTATTTTGAGTCAAACTAGTGACGTCACAACTCAAAATATAGAAAGTGCGATAACTTGGGAATGAGATGAGATACGCACAAACTGTAAACGTCATTCTTCATCATTTAAGCAGTACCTTTTAATAAGACAATAAAAATCGAGGCAAAAATTTCGTTTCATAAGCACTGTCTACATATTTGTAATAAACCTATAAAGGATTATTGCGTCTGTCTGTCTTAGGAGTCATATAGTCGAATAATTCAGCATGATTTGTCTCACGTTCTCTTATAAGTTGACTAATATTGCATAAAAGTGGTAAAAGTTAGTGTGCTAACCAAGATTTCAGTGTATTTGTTTGCTAATATTGCTAGGCCTATATCGCAAACGCTATTTGCCTATTAAAATATCATATGACACGCAATTTTAATTCCACGGCAAAACTGCTGTTGCGCAAATAACAAACGCGAGATTAAATATATATGACAGTATTACAGTTTAGTAATATTGCATTAAAAGTGGTAAAAGTTGGTGTGCTAACCAAGATTTCAGTGTATTTGTTTGCTAATGTGCTAGGCCTATATCTCAAACGCTATTTGCCTATTAAAATATCATATGACACGCAATTTTAATTCCACGGCAAAACTGCTGTTGCGCAAATAACAAACGCGAGATTAAATATATATGACAGTATTACAGGTTAGTAATATTGCATTAAAAGTGGTAAAAGTTGGCGTGCTAACCAAGATTTCGGTGTATTTGTTTGCTAATGTTGCTATATCTCAAACGCTATTTGCCTACTAAAAATATATGACACGCAATTTTAATTCCACGGCAAAACTGCTGCTGCGCAAATAACAAACGCGAGATTAAATATATGGCAGTATTACAGTTTAGGTATGTTTTAAATTGCTAATAGATCACACGGAAACTTTTACAATCGTTATATTCAAAAGCCTAGCGTGCAAATTCACATATTTGTGTTTTATATTCAAGTGTTTGAATTCGCTATTTACATGGGAAGCGACGAGATATGACACGGTATTTTTCAAGTATACCGTGAAACTCCACTGACAAAATGAGCCCGCACAAGTGGGAGAAAATTTGCGCATTCTGACCATCGTGGTGTGTCTTCTTATTACTATTAAAGTTAACCAGCATGGTAGGCTTTCTGGGTTTGGAGGAGGGTTTGGGGAGTTAAAGTTTACCAGGCTAGCCACATGTACGCATTGCGTACCTATTTTTTTAAATACACAGGACGCATGGAATACAAAAATATATTCTTGAATTCAGTTATTCAGTGACAGCGTTTAAATGCCACGGGCCTCACGAAACGTTAATCCGACCCTGCATGTGCACGTGTGCAAGTTCATATGGCCCTGTCATGCACACTGGCTATTGCGTATCAGAGAAACGTATGGAAATTAATGAAATAATTTTTATACGCACAAAATTACAAAAATTCCTTAAAATGCCAGCGTATGAGTACCGTACATCTGGCGTAGTTACCTCTACCGTACGTTTGAATACGCACAAAATGTTTAACCATCCATGCTTCAAAACATGTTTCTGTCTCGCCGGGCCTCGTCGTATATGCCAGCGTATACTGTATATACCACCGTATGCGACCGTGCTTGAAACGTGTACAACGGGGAACCTATGCCAAACGTACCCCTAGCGTATACGTATATGTCAACGTATACCAGCGTATGACGGTATGAGTGATATTTTTCATGACGCTGGCATATACTGTACGCTATAGTACGATATGTGGAACTGGAAGGCACAGGGAGCACATATTAGCATGTATAAGAAATAATTCAATCAGATTGACATCTCGCAATACGTCCACCTAACAGAGGACACTGCTTAACAGGGGTTATAATAATCATGTTTTATTAACATTGTGGTGGTGGTGGGGGGGGTCGGGCGGCTTGTATTCGGAATGGCCTAAGCTTTATTGAATATGGTGGGCTTATACACAGGGATCAGCTTATATAGAACAACCCTGCGAACAAATTGGTATTTATACTTACACTTGTGAAGAGTAATGCTGTAAAAATCCTGGATGGCTTCATTTGGTTCCTTAATTAAAAGACTGGAAGGGTTTAGAATACAGTAACTATATATAAATAATAAATGATATCTTGCCAATGGCTATTTCAGTATTCACATCAATGAGAATACTCGTCTGGTTTGCTGCTGTAAAAAACACCTTCAGTCAGAGATTTAATTATTTATATTTATTTATATAAGAATTAACTGACCTATGAAATTTTATTGCTGTGTGGACAAAATGATAACTAAAATAGAGAAAATTTGTTGCCTTGATCTCGAACAAGTAGAAGTTTACTGATTACAGCTGAATTTGTCCATCATGCATGCAAGATTACCTACCACAAATTATATCATATGCTGATATAAGATAATCGCAGGGCGGTCTTTCTACAACCAGAAGTATTCCTCCTTTGCCAACGTTCACAGAAATACTTTTCTTTTATATGAATATTAATGTTTCCCCTCATCATTACGTGGCACAGGTGAAGATATTTGACAAGTTGTTTTCAAGAGCATGATTATCTTGTTAGCCGCACTGATTCTAATTGACTGTCTTTCATGGGTAATAAATGCTTGATAAATTGAAGTAACTAGTATTTGCTTCCGGTCAACGTTCATGTATAAGCTCGCTGTCAGTATGTATATGGTTCTTCTAGTTCTAGAACCGGAGGATGGAGAGGGTATACTCTTAAACTGATTTGATCTTACTAGTTACTTCACCCCAAAATACACGACTTTCCATATCCTATTTCAGACCTAAATGTATATAAGCCAGTGTGATTGTGTGGATATATTGAAGCAAAATGTTCATGAACTCAGATGCCGACATGCGCCCGCATCAAATCTCCCGGCCACGTTTAACACAGTAAGCTAGATGCTAGCTTGCCTCTCAAATGGCAGAAAAACAATAAACTCGGATGTACCCTTGTAGACTCTTAAGGAAATGTTTGTTGCATGGTACAATATAGGGAAATGTACTCATTCTAGTATCCTTATAATTAACCAAACAAGAGTACGCTTCACTATATAAGCAATCAAGTTACACATTTGATTTTACTGAGATACTATAAACATGATAGCATATATGTTATTTACAATACTATGATAGAGGAAATAACACATCAAAAATAAATAATATCTTAATAAGTTAGAGAAGAACTTCGTCCTCTTGGTCCACATCTGTGGCTTGGTGATATGAACGAGTGGAAGTTTACCAATATAGTTACAAATTTAAGCTCAGAGTTCGCTTTTCTGTTAGGGTTAATTAGGGTAAGGTTACGGCTAATGGGCGTTGTTGTTAATTGATTTTTCACGTTTTAACGCCTATAACGATCTTAAAACAAGCAGCCATCTTGAAAATTACCCTCTACGGTCCATCCGCTTTAGCAACTAGCCAACTACCTGTGATTTGTGCACGATACCAGCATTGATGTACATGTAATAGTGCTTCCTATTTTACTTTATCAAATACTGCAGGTTTTCCACTGGCACCCTTTTGTTTCCTCCTGCTGGCCCGCAATATCCAGTACTTTAGACCGTTTTACATATTAGCATAATCTCCGAGTCCTTATTAACGTTCAAACTAGCTACATGTTTGCAATCAGTTTTCAGCGAAAGAGTTTGTGGTGAGCCGAACGATACTGATTAATATAGCTACGCTGTGTATTTATGTACTTAACATAATTGTTTCGCATGAGAAACTAAGCAGGAGTGAGAAATCGACGCTGTATGATACAGACTTAGAACGCGCAATAATCAGCTTTATTTATCAAAGTTCAGAAAGGTCGGCTGTCGGCGGTCGCAAAACGTTTGTGTATACATTTAAAACATTTAATGGGCCAATTTTACTAGAAACGTTAGTGGCTTACTTCTTCGCTGGTTGTTATACTTCAAAATAATTTTGTATATACCGAGAAATCAATATTCCGAGTAAAATAAATATGTAAATTGGGATGTCACACTGATAGCTTGTTTACATTTCCTGGAGCATCAAATCTTATGTTTATGTTTAACCACAGTAGTTTAACCCATTAGCTGGCAATGCGCCCTTCCTTTCTCCAGCGCCAGAACTTTTACTCGTCAGTGGTATAGGGTACTGCCTTTCTGCCAATGTCTCTTGTTAATCCATCCGCACAGTAATGATCCTTACTTTAGTATTTACCCTGTCCAACGCCAGACGATTTTTAAAGCCCCGTTTACACTACATTAATTTTTGGCACGGCACTCTTAAATAATGGCACGCGGACCAAATTTTTAGGCACGGTACTCTTAATTTTCGCAGTGTAAACGCAAAATAAAGGGTCCGCGTGCCATAATTGTTTGACGGGCGGAGACCTCTTCAAGGAGGTAGTCTCGAGCCCCGTTTACACTACACTCATTTTCGGCACGGCACTCTTTTTTTGAAAAATCAGCATCGTTTACACTACAAATTTTGGCGGGCCATCAAGATGCACTAGCACCCCTACTGTTGAATACGGCCCGCTTAAATACTGCGCCCTTAAATCAAACTTCAGCGGTTAAATTCTTAAAGTAAAATTCGCGGGCATTTTAAAAAATGGAGGATGTAAAAACAGCAAACTCGGCACTTGTTTGGTATTTTTATGTGTCAAACCGGAGACGTTTACGCTTGGCAAAATTTAAAGATAACCGTGTACGTAGAATAGCACTTCACAACATAAAAAGAAAAGGTATTTAAAAAAGAATTTACCGAAACTGTACTAGCTTTTTTTCATCGACGACGGCTGGCAGTTACATTATATTATCTAGCATCCACGGCTGAATACCGCACAATTGGCAACTTATTCGGAGTTTCACGGTCATTTGTGTGCCAGTGCATTAAAGAATAAAGAAGTATGTCATGCAATAGCAAAGCAGTTTCCAAATCATCAAATGCTATCAGCTTCCCTAAGGGTGATGACCTTGCGAGTCATTCGAGGTTATGAATAGACATGGAGCTTTCCTATGTGTGCGGGCGCTGTGGATGGAACTCACATACCGATACTGGCACCTAACAAAAATCACACAGATTATGTCAACCGTAAGGGTTTCATAGTGTCCTTATGCAGGCTGTGGTAGATTGTAATTATATATTCAGGGACGTAGTTATCGGTTGGCCAGGAAGCGTACATGATGCGCGGATTTTCTCCAACTCAGCCATTTTTGCAAAAGGAAGGGATAACTGTCTTTTCCCAGATGACCTCAATAGGGAAATATGTGGGGTGGAGATGCCACCGGTAATTCTTGCGGACCCAGCCTATCCACTGTTATCATGGGTGTTAAAGGGCTACCCTAGGAACGAGGCAACAAGAAGTCAACGTGTTTTTAACTATCGTCTTAGTCGTGCACGAATGACGGTAGAAAACACCTTTGGTAGGTGAAAAGGAAGATACGTCAGATTTTAAAAGCGGGTGGGCATGGATGTAAGTACTCTGGCACATGTTGTACAGGCCTCCTGCGTGTTACATACTCATATTCGAAGCTCTTAAAAATGAATTTCTTCCTGATTGGGCTGACGCTGAAGTACTTATTGAGGAACCAATACTTCCAATTTATGAAACGTCAGCACCAGACGCAGAGCTATTCCGTGATGCTTTAGCTGAATATTTCACCAGTTAGACATAAGTACAGTTTTAGGGACGGAAGTAGTGTATGCAGTATATTTCAAAGCTAAGTTTGTTGATCATACAATCAGAGCGGTCGCCCCCCCCCCCCCC